CTCCATTCAACCTCAGTCGCTTGATCTCAACGGTCAAGTGATGACTAGACGCAGCTGCTCAAAGTGACCGGACGCATGACCCCAACGTCCGATCACTTCCAGTAAGCTTCCAGAGGTGAAAATTCGTGACCGGACGCGTCCGGTCGGTCACGATCAGACGCAGCATCAACATCCGGTCATTTCTCCTCTTCTCGGTGCTGCCACGTCCGCGGGACCAGACGCAGCCACCCAGCATCCGGTCATGAAATGACCTAGCGTCCGGTCAAAGACCGACGCCTGCGCCTTCACTGCTGCCACTGACCGAACGCAGGACCCCAGCGTCCGATCACTGCGTGACCAGCATCCGACGCACACGGTGAAACCCTGTCTTTTCTATACAGGGCGCCGGTGGCACTGTCGGTCTGTCCGCACTCTACGGGCGGACACTCCGCCGGTTGAGTTTCGAACCTTTCTTGTCTCCGTTCCATTGCCAAGTTGATCCACATCGACTCCAACTTCATCTCCTTTGTAAATGTGCCAACACCACCAAGTGTACTCCACCATGTGTATGTGTGTTAGCTTTTCATAAATATTTTCCAAAGGATTAGCCACTCAACTTGCCACACCACTCGATCCTAGCGATGATGCAAAGTTAGATCACTTGAGTGGCACTAGATGACCGATAGGCAAACAAGTTTGCCCCTCTTGATAGTACGGTCATCTATCCTAAACCCGGTCATCAACTTCTCTACACACCTATGACCGGTGAAATGAAATGCCCTAGGTTTTACCTTTGCCTTGCGCATTCCATTCTATCTCATCCAATGTCGATGCAACACATGCACCAACACGATCAACAATGATATGATCCACTTCATCTCATCGCGTGATCATATTGGTTCATGGATCTTGACTTCACTTGCTTTTCACCGTTGCCTTCGTCCATCGGCGCCAAGTCTTACTTAAGCTTCACCGCCAAGCGGTCCATCGCTCCAAAGCCTCCAACTTGCCCTTCACGCTTGCAACCGGTCCATCAAGCCAAGTTATGTCTTGATCTTCTCCACCTTGATCACATGACTTAATGTCATGTCTCATTTGTAATGAGCTCCTTCATCATCACATGTGTGAGCTTTGCAACATCTCCAAGCCATTTTCACCTTCATGGCATATGTTGCTCACACATATGTACCTATGGACTAATCACCTATGTATCTCACATAAGCACAACTAGTCCACCTAGGTTGTCACTCAATTACCAAAACCACACAAGGACCTTTCAACTGGACTTCTGCCAAAATATCCTGGATATATAAGCTACCTCAGGGTAAGTTCTTACTTGTACATTCATTAAGCTTCCAACAGCTGAAGCATAAACTCGTCGGTTAAATAAACAAGGTGCTTCTGCATCAATTCTACATCACCGTTGGGCAGAAAATAGAATTAATGCATAAAACTCATAAATCAACTTGAAATACATATAACTACTCTTCAAAATTAAAATCTCTTGTTGGTTCGAATTTAATTAGAAGATAATCAACATCATTGCAGCGAAAACTTGATAGCAAAATACATTCTTTTAGTTCAGGAGCATTTCTTGATCCTTATCTAGTCTCTGAAAAATTGACCACGTTGGTGTAAAATTTATCAGAGATTTAAACTTTAAACTTAAATTCATTATAATATTGTTATTATCAACGTTGGTTAGAAAATAACAATACCATAATCTAACATAAACAAATCGGACTACTCCTCTAATTTAAATTTTGCCGTTGGTTCTAATTTAATTAGATGATAAACATAATCATAATTTACTAAATGTAACCGTTGGTTTTGTAATTTAATTGGAAGATAATCAACATTAAACTTTACAACGTTGGAGACAGTCTAAGTCCCTCAAATGTAGGGGACCCTTGAATCACCCTCAACCCCCTTATTTCTTTTTTTTCGAATTACTCAAGTACAGACATAGACGCACGTGCACTCACCCTTATGAATACACGTACGTAAACCCTACCCCTATGAGCACCTTCGTAAGACTGTGCCGACACATCTCGAGATTAACGAAGTCATCACAGGCGCCTCGCTATCGACGAGAACATCGCCTACCACTAAAAGCACAACGCCGTTAAATCGTGTATTAAATTTAGAAAAATAGGAGCACCCTTGTCAAGTCGAGGACTTGAGGCAGGGTGGACAGGTTCTACCACAAGAAACCTAACCAACTGAGCTAGGCTCAGTTCACTCAACCCTTTATTTCCAATGGATTAAAAAAACCCTATTTTCATGACTCTATCTAAGGCCCCTACTTTACGGTTTCTATCCTTCCCATCTCCCTTTTAACCCCATATCCGCACATAATCACCCCACTGCTCGAGCCCCCCTCTACTTCCACCGTCCACATTTGCCTCTTCGATGTCGGTAACTAGATTCGCACCCCACCATGGGTCCCTTGTGTTTTCCCTGCCTGATTTGGTCCCTTAAGTGAGACCCTAAAGCATGCCTTCCACCTATGACTTTTCAAGCTCCGATTGCCCTAACTTGGCCTTTGAGCTCCGCTCGCCTGCCATTGAGATTCGGTCCCTACCTCTGCTCTCCTGCCCCCAGGGTTCGGCCTTGAGCTCCAGCCTCCTTCTCGACCCTGGTAGTACCCTAGCCTCCACCTGGGTCTTGGTAAGTCAAACTTGTATCAAATTTTATGTCAACCCATGGACGTGTCAACCAAATGTCAATTTGGAGTATGAAATGTAAATTCTTGCATGGGAGTTTGCTTGTGAATTTATTTGAGACTATATATTCCTATGTCATTTTTTATTGCCAATTGATTTGACACTTTAGATGTGTATTTAATTGTTGTAGCTGATGTTGTCGGACGATGAATATTTAATTGATTTGTATGAACTTTTTATTATAATTTATTAATTTGAATTGATGTAGTGTCAAAAGAGAGAATACGTATATGTGTGCGAAAAGAAAGTAAAGATGAAGTAGGGGGCCTACGGGTCCTGCGGGAAAGCACGAAGTGTGATCGAGCTGGAGCCATGGGCTGTCAAAAAAAAAAAGTAGAAACGAGCTGGGATGTGTATTGGTTTGTCGACTTGCAACGCAGTATGATGGCTAAGCCTGTCGTAGGGCCGTAGGGGTTAGTCCGGTCCTTAGCAACCGTGTTTCTGTTTCCGGAATGGGAACGAGAATTTAAGGTATCATTTTATAACGTGGGAATGAAAATATTTGCGTTTTCAGAACATATATGTTCTCGAAACGTGGAACATGAAAACGGGAACGTGGCCATGTTTCCATTTTATTCTGCTAAGGTCTGGTCTACGACATCATCGACAAACAATGCAAGTGGCAACGATGGCACAAGTGCTATATGGCTTAGAGTTGACTACGACGGGGTACAAGGATGGCTCGGTGCATGACATCGCCGAAAATGATGGCACAAGCAATAATGATGGCATGTCAACAACTCAACATGATTCCTTTATGTTTCTCTGACGATGGTGTAGTGTAGCGACCGACATGTGGTGGTGTGGTTCTCCTGGAGTGATCGTGGTGCGGTGCTTTCCTAGAGTGGCGGCGTCGTTGCTACCTTGCTTGGATTGGGGAGAAGAAGGGGTGAAACAATAGCCCCGTTCGTTTGGCTGAATTTGGCTGAAAAAATAAGTTAAAACGTTGTTCCGGCTGAATTGTTGTGAGAGAAAAATACTGTTCCGACTGAAAAAAGAAGCCGAACAAGCCGGATTTTAAGACGTACTCACGGGAGAAGTCACGGGATGAATTCGGACCGAATGCCAGATGGTGTCAGACCAAAATACCAATTATAGAAAATCTTTTAGAAAAAATTACAAGTTGTATACCAAGTGGACTGCAAAGCTTGACACACATCCCAAAACAAGATTCAACGGTTGTATGTGTGTGAGCATGAGCCCTTAAGGGCAGAATTTCCATATATGGTGTCAGCCTATATGTTGCATTGCGCCCTGTACGTTTGGTCATAAACGATTGTAAATTTTCAGCCAGAACAGTATTTTTCTCTCACACCAAATCAGCCAGCAGTAATAATCCACGATCGTATACGATCGTTTTAGCTCCAGCCGAACAGGCTGTTGGTCGAGGAAGGCGGCCATAAAAATAACACACTCTCTCTCTCCTCCATCTTGTCCATGGTGGCGGGCGATTTGTCTATTATTATACCTGTCCTTATAGATCCATTATTGTTCTGTTCAGTTTCCTGGTTGTTGTTTTTTAAAAAAAAAACAAAAACAAATCTCTACATAAGCTTCGTTGAGCTGGACGATGAATTCATTCACCTCCATGAGTCATGCCCGCTGATCATATGCTGCACGCAGTACGTGACGGCCTGGTAGGCCTTCAAGGTGTAGTGCAGGACGTAGGAACTAGCGCCAGAATAATCTTGCGCGGCCGAGCGGCCGAGCCAATGATGGCCCAAGCGTATCGCCGGAGCCAGGACGGAGCGTCGCCGGAATCCTGTACCGATTCCGATTGCCCGAAGTGGAAAGGACGCCCATATGGCACATCGACCACGGCTGCGAATCGGATTTGCCGGCCTGTTGGTGCACCCACGCCTCGGATCTACAAATATCACGACACCTGGCCGGCCCGTTAGTTCATCCTCTCCGGCCGCACGCTAGCTGCCTTCTTGTCGGCCCGCCTCCGGTGCAGTGTGTAGGGAGAGCAAGATCAAGATGGACGGCGCCGGCAGCAGCTCCGGCGACGTTTCCTCGACGCCCGCCACCGACGAGGGGCCTCGTGCGGACCCGGAGCTGCCGTAGCCGACGGACGACGTCTATGTCATCGCCGCCGTCACGCGCAACCTCGCTCCCGTCGCGCCTTCCAGGGGGGTGAGGGTGCAATTAGGCCGAAACGGCATGCAGCCTACCCTCATCTTCTTAGAGTCTCGCGACGGCGACGGCGACGGCGACGCTGACGCCTGAGTGGACGACGACGCGCACGGCGGGTTCGGCTTGGGCGCCGTCCCGGTCCCGGCGTCCGGCGTGGCCATGGCCTGTCCACCGGAGACAACGGTGGGCGAGGGAGAGAGAGGCGAGTGCGCGGTGTGCCTCGAGGAGTACGAGGCCGGCGACGCGCTGAGGACCATGCCGTGCGCGCACGGCTTCCATGAGCGCTGCATCTTCGGCTGGCTCCTACTCAGCCGCCTCTGTCCGCTCTGCCGCTTCGCGCTGCCGCCTGAGCCCTGAGGAGGGCACGGAGGCCGACGTGGACGAGGATATACGATGATGACGAAGGCCGGGGACGCTGCTGACGACGGCGGCGGCGCATTGGATAGTACCTACGATTCATGTTTGTAACGTGATGATGGAGATGAACTCAACATGGCGCCGGAGGATGGACATGTGGAAGATAGTACTATGGACATGACTACCGATTATGAAGTGTGGTGCTGAGGAATGAGAATTAGGCGGCTATGGTTGCAATATGTCAAGCGAGTGTTTGGGCTTAGGCGATCTAAAGATTGTAGTTAGTTGGCCTATTTCTTTTTTCTGAAGAAGACGATGATAGGATTTCCTGGACCTCTGCCTGCAGATTTAGTGGGTAAAACTTGACTTAAATGGGATGACTTGCTGATGTACCTCACTAAACCATGTCGCGGTCGAGGCGTCGGTGACGTAGTAGCCACAACGGGTCGGAGTAGGTGTTACACCATAAATCATTTACTAAAACATGTCATGAGCATCATGTTTATGTGTTAATGCATGTAATAGAGTGTGTAGATCAATTTCCGTAACTCAGAACGATCAACGGAAATGCGAAATGAAAGTTAATTCCATAGTCATGTTATATCACTTAGGGTTTAAAACCAATTTTTATTAAGCAAAAATGCTATAGAATATGTATGTGATACTTGAATAAAGTTTGAAGTATTAACTTTGTAGATGACAATGAAATACCTGCGGTCAAAAAATGATATTACTAGATAAGATTTCCAATAGCTTAGAAATGCAATTTGAAATAGAGTTCAACTAAAAATTTAAAATTTCTTGAACTTTGGAAAGGGTAGACATTGCTTTGTTCATCAGAAAAATTTAGTTAAGAAGTAGAGTAGTGTCAGGGCTTGTTTTAGTAGCCTAATGTACCCTCTTTGGTATAGCGAAAGTGGTTTGGGTATTGGATCAACGGTTTAGTCGTGGTCAATGCTTTAAAATCCGTGCACATCACGTTTCTGGTTTATTTCCCTCGCGTGGGCACAGCACGTTTCCGATCATCGCATTGGGTGATTCTGCGCGTGCGCGCGTTGGCGCACTCGGCGGTCCACCGCGGGCCGGTTGGCCTGGTTGCGCGTTGCTGCTGCCACGCGGGCCCGGCGTCCTGGCCGCCATTGCCGCCCTGCCGCGCGGACGTCCCGTCCCACTGCCGTGCTGCTGCTTTGGCCGCATCACTGGCCTCCTCGGCCTGCCGTCGCGCGAAGCCGTGGATGCCGACTCGTCCCGTTGCGCTGCCCCACCGTATGCTGCCGTTGCCGTGCATTGCTACTGCTCACACAACCGAGCGCCGCGGCCACCTACCCCACGTGCTGCCCCACCACACGTTGCGATGCTGCCGCTACCATCGCATCACCGTCTCGCTCTCGCCTGCCGCTGCACCGCGCTGCGCCTCTGGTCCGCCTAGGCGCTGCGTGCGTGGGGCCGGACCGCCGTCGCCAAGCCATTTATGGCATTGCGGCGCGCGGGCCACGCCGACCTTGAGCGCGGGGCCGTCGGCTAGCGTTGGCCGTGGGTCGTACTAATTGCGCCAGCTGCATCGCGCTAGGGTGCACTCGCCAGCTACCGACCGCGTCCTCACCGCCTCCCGTCCTCTCGTTTCTCCCCTACCCGCCTCTATGCGCCCTATCGCTTCTATTTCCACCATCACGTCGCAGCCACAGTGAGCCAGGGTGCAGGCACTTGCCTTCAATTCGCGTGCCCGTGTATGTGCATTGATGCCCACGTGCCAACCATCCCCACCCTGCCTTGAATTGAGCCACGACGAACTCCAATTTGGAAGTTTCCCCTCCGCTGTGCCATTAAGGCCGGGACCGGCCGTGGCCGAGGGTAGCCACCCACCGCTCCACCCCTCATCAATCCATCTACACCACGAACTCCGCCTCCACCTCCACTTCACCCTACGCACCTCACTTGCACCTCTACTGGCTCGCCATAGCCACTGACGTGGTCGCGCCGTCTCAGAGCGCCACCGCATCCCACCACCCGCACGTGGCCAAACCACCACCGTAGCCACAACCAGGGTATGATAGTGATGCTATAGCGCTAGCTAGTTCACCCCGCGGTGGCTTAGGGTGACCAGCATGGCCGCGTCGCTGTCGCGCATGGCTGCATGCCGTGGTCACCACTTCCGCGAGCTCCGCCGCTCCTGTAACCTAGGCTAGTGTAGGCGCTAGGGTTGTAGATGGGGATCGGCCCATTAGTGGAGCCAGCGTGGGTCCCAGTTGGCCGGCGTGGCCGTCCAATGCCATCGTCGGCGCGCCGGCGCGTGCGCGGGTGGCCGAAGGACCGGACCGTTGTAAAGGAGAGTAAGGGGAATGGCTTATTTGCATAGGTGCAGTCTATAGGAATAGTGTTGCGGACCTCAGGTTGAATTGCCGGTAGCTCAAGGGTGTTTTTGCATATGTGCTAGCGCGCGGGCTCCCCGCCGCGGGCCGCCTCCACGCGTGGGCCGCGCCTCGCCTGTGGGCCGCTGCGCGTTCGCGCGCGCACGCGTGGGCTGCATGGGCCGAATGGAGTTTATTTTTTCATGAAAAATATAAATAGCTTTCATTTGTAATTCTGAGCTGAACTTTGGTAAATCATATAAAATCATGTAGGTATCCAAAAATTGTGAAACCAATTTTGTTATGTTCCTAAAATTGTGCTCTATCAATTAGTGTATTTAGTTCATATATATATATATTTGTTGATACCAGTGGCTATTAAATCATTTGTGAGTGTTTAGTATTATTTAGGTTAGTATTTGTTGGAATTTTTGTGGCAAATTGGTAATAGCTTTGACCATGAAATGTTTACAGTAGATTCATTGTATTATTATGTGCTTACTGTAATTGTTGTAGCCTTAGAATAGGTCAAGAAATATGATAGCTAAGTACTCATTGTAGTATATAGGAAATCGTTAATAAGAGTAAGAATATATTTTAGTTGCCAAGTAGCACTTGTAATTGAAACCCTGCTGGTTTGATGGGAATGATGATTAGCTTGGTATCTTAGTCATTAGAGCTAGCTTAGTGGCTTAGTAGATGTATTCTTATTTTAAGAACTACTGTTGCCTTATTATTGAGTGTTGCATCGTCATTGCATGCATGTAGAGAATGATTTGGTGGAGTTCATGACCGAGGGCGAGCAGGAGTATGAGGAGGTGATTGAAGAGTACAAGGTGGAGATCCTCGTGTAGGAGGAGGTTCTGGAGCCGCCACTGACTAACTAAGCTGACTCCACGTCTGCCCAAGGTAAGCCCCGGTGCATAACCTTTATTTTGAATGATCACTGGATACATATGAATGTGATGTGCATTTATGTTATAGGCACTTTGTGGAAACCACATGCATAGATAACCTACCTGTGAGTCTACTAGCATAGGTCGAGTAGTTGCTATGCTTAGGCTATCGGTAGCGTGAGTAACCTGCCGTTACTCATAATAGGTGATTATTATTATCACTCATGATAAAATGGTGAAAGGAAAAATGGAGACCGGGCAGAGATATGGTATGGGTAATGGTGGGTGTAAGAGGTTGTGTCCCACGGCCAACGGGGCATAGCTTGGTTATACTGTTTTCCCTGTTCGTCTCGGTTAAGGATCGACCGTTGCATTGGATTCTAGTCAGGTCACAAACTTATTATCCTGAGCACATTCTTGTTTATGGGAGCAGGGAAGGCTCATTACTCTCTTTTCGTGGGTTTCGGCTCTTTTCGGACTGACTGATTGGAGGTGGGGATGGTGGAGGTCTAAGCACCACACTAAGTTCGGGACTCAGGTGTGGGGGCTTGGAGTCCAAGTTTGGACGAGGACCTGGACCCCTTGACAGGAGAGTGATGGGTTGGTCCTGCTTATGCCTGGGGTACAAGCGGGGCGTGTGTTTCGAGGTACCCAGCTGGGCACATTGATTTGCGAATCGCCGTGTAATCCGGTATGACTTATCTATAGTCTAGCACCGTAGTAAGAACTGGAAGATGAAAGATGCTGAAATGGATCTGTTTGCTCAACTCTGGCTTGAAAGTAGAACAGGTGCTTACATAGAATGGCTAAATAATGAACTAATCATGACTGCTAATAAGAAACCTATATAAGGATCCACTACTAGTAATGCTTTTTGCGAAAAGTAAACCCAGCAACCCAAAAAGCTTATCATATCCTTTGGAGTCGGGAAGTTATTCCCACTAGTCGGGTAAGTCTTGTGAGTACATTGTGTACTCAGGGTTTATTACCCCTGTTACAGGTGCAGCTTGAAGAGTAGCTGTTGTGTGGAGGATTCTTCTGGTGGGCACAAATGGATCCTTGTATTCTACCATTAGATATTTATTGTAATTCCGCTATTTAAATTCCGAACTATGAACTTGGTACTGTAATAATGTATTTCTAAGAACTCTGGTTGTATAAAATGGACTAAGTACTATAAACTCGTTCTCATTATTGGATCCTGGAGGAAAAAATGTGGATTATTTGAGTTCTCCCTTGGGGTGTGCTCGACGGAAATCCGTCCAATGTAGCTTGCTTTCGGGGTGCGAGAGGTAGCCGTGACGCTCACGCTAGGGCGTCGTAGGTAGCAGCCGTGTAGGCGTGGTGCTATGGCGGCGATGAAGGCGATGGAGCTTCCCATCACTTACAACTTCCCTCTCGATCGGTCTAGGGATAGGACATCGGTGAAGGGCTAGCGACTGTGGTGAATCTTGTACCTTGCGCCCCGGTCCCCACTTTTCTCTTTATAGTGCTGCGCGATGGGGGCCCATCAGCCAGGAGAACGGTTGGGCGCCCTCGATCAGGGCGCCGATAAAGGGCCCAATTGGCACTTGGGCCAACTTGGTAGAGATCAATCTAACATTCTTCCCCTTGATCTCACCTTATGACTTAAACTTAACTTACTTTATCTTTTTTCCATTTCATCACAGATCAGTGCATATAACGTGCCTCATCGTCACGGTCAGTTGCTATTAGATTAAACAGCTACAATGCACCTCTCTGTTTTGAAACAGAT